CCGCCGGCGCCCGGGCGTGAGGAGGCGGGGCCGCGGACTTGGGACTCCGGTCCGTTCGGCGCTTCCCTGCGCGGGTGCGGGCGGCCGCACGCAGGAGCCATGTCCGCGCTGCCGCTGGCGGGGCTGCGGCCCGAGGTGCGCGACAGCGGCACCTCGCTGGGGCTGATGTTGGCGGTCGTGCTGTGCATGGGGCTGGCGCGCGCGATCGCGCGGAAGCAGCTGCACAGGCCCGCCGTCCACGCGTTTATCTTGGAGTTTCTAGCCACCTTCCAGCTCTGCTGCTGCACCCACGAGCTGATGCTGCTGAGCGAGCAGGACTCGGCGCACCCCACCTGGACGCTGACGCTCATCTACTTCTTCTCGTTGGTGCACGGTCTGACTCTGGTGGGCACCTCCAGCAACCCGTGCGGGCTGATGGTGCAGATGATGCTGGGGGGGATGGCCCCCGAGATGGGGGCGTTGAGGTTCTTGGCTCAGCTGGTGAGCGCCCTGTGCAGCAGGTACTGCATGCGCGCCCTGTGGAGCCTGGGTCTGACTCAGTATCACTTCAGCGAGAGGATCTTCGCTTGCCAGAATCCTATCCACTCCGACTTGCCCAAGGCGGTTATTACAGAGGCCATCTGCTCCTTTATCTTCCACAGCGCTCTGCTGCACTTCCAGGAGGTTCGAGCCAAGCTCCGCATCCACCTGCTGGCTGCACTCATCACCTTTTTGGCCTACGCAGGTTTGTCATTCCCGCAAAACACGTGGCACATCCGAACTGAACCTCTATGACCTGAAACTCTAAGTTCTTTATCAAGATACATTTGAAACCCCTGCACCGCTGTGATGTACATATTTCCCTGCCCCCGTATTTTAATCTGCACCCCGTTTTTAACCGATAAAGCCAACACATAAAGCCTTCATTCAGTGCTTTTTTTAAATGCCCCGGGAAGAGAGCCAGTTCTGTGCTGAAACTGAGATCCTGTTAGATAGTGCCAAAGGTTCAGATACCCTGCAGAGGCATTGTTTCAAAGGTAGCAAGGAAAGGCAACTTATCAGTTACCTTTTTTTCATGCCAAAGTGGTGCAGATCCTTTCTGACACCTTCACTGAAAAACTACCCTAGGGCTAAAAAGTTCCTTTCTACTTACACACAGGATTGGTTAGTAGTTAAGACTGGGAAGTAGGAAGTCTGAAATTCCATTTCCTAGTCTTTTTCTACAAATTGCTTGTCATTTATTTCCATAATAATTCATCTTGTTATAAATGCACTTTTAACACAGCCTATTAAGACGTATTTTAAAATTAAAAGTTGTTTGAAGTTGCAAATGCTTTTTATACACAACTCTTGAGAAATCAGTCGAAACCTATTGATTTCTGTTAAGCCATTTATTTACCTTGATGTACTTTAGATACAGCGGGTATGTATTCTAAATAGGCCAAAGAAATATAAGAAACAAATGAAGTGTATCATTTAAAATGACTGCAACAAAGTAACTTTACTGGGACTGTATCTGAATTATAAAATGTTTTGAGGCATGAATATAGCAAAGGAAATTTATAGTGATAGTCCATCTTCTGCCCATTCAAAGTCAAACTAAAGGGCTATGGGTGTGGCTCAGTGATGAGTGCTTGTCTAGCATGTGCAAGGCTCTGGGTTTGATCCCTGGTACCGGAAGTGGTGGAGGCTCTATATGCACATCTCAATCCATCTTTCCCTTCTTTAGATATAGTACCATTTTTTAAAAAAAGTTAAGACAGATGAAAATAAATGGTATAGAAGAAAAAGACTGAATAGTTCCTTATCAAAGTTTTAGGTTTTGACTAAAGCAGAGAAATTGACTGTATATGAACACAAAAGTTACGCCACAGTTTAGTTCTGCACTTGTAGAACTAAAAACAACAAATGACTACAGAGTGAGACCTGGTCTCCAAGAAAGGGCAGTAAACATTTACAAGTTTTTAAAATTAATAGAACACTAACTAGAGTTGGATCTTTATCTCTGTCCCTCCTCCTTCTGAAGTTGGTATTCTTATCTTTTTTTTATACTTTTTTTTTTCAGTACTGGGTATTGCCCAGAGCCTTCACCCAGCCCTTTTTATTTTTTATTTTGAAACAGGGTCTCATTAAGTTGCCCAAGTTGGGGTTGAATTTTCAATCCTCCTGCTTCAGCCTCCCAGTCATACTTTTAAAGCATAGTTATGACTTCACAAATAATACTGTCATCAGCTATTTTCTATTTTATAGTGACAGATTTTGAGAGAAGAGAATGTTTGAAGTTATAGGTAAACATAAGGAAAGTTATTGGAAGAAGTCAGTAAAATGTCAACGTAAGGGACACTGAACAGTACCTTTTTTTCTTGAAATGTGGCTACTATCTAATGGGGATGGGGTGGGAGCAAGCTAATTTCTGCAGTGGTTCTCATTATTTTCTTTGTATTGAATCACCTGGGGAGCTTTTAAAAATACCCATTTTAGTTGCAGAAATTAAAATTTAATTGCTCTTTGAAGGAGCCTAGGCAATGGTATATTTTAAAGTTCCCCAGGTGATCCCATTATGGAACCAAGGTTGAGAACCGCTGCTCTAGGAGTCTAGACCGGCACTGTCCAATTCAGTAGCTGTCAGCCCCATGTAACTCTTTAGGTTTAAATTAAGTAAAATTAAAGATTAATTCCTCATTCACAGTAGCCACATTTGAAATATTCAGGCATCACACGGTACTGTAGCTAGTGACTACAGTATTAGACAGTGCCAGAGAATATAGGGGCAGAATCAAAAGGTAATTGCTGGTTACTGCTAGTTACAGAAATTCATAATCTATTATGATCTTCATTTTAACTTTCTTTTCTGCTAATACAAGGGAGATTCACTGGGTGTATACTATAGATCAAAGCATTTTGCCAGGAAATTTATGAGTTATCGTAATCCTTACACAGCCCACTGATGAATACGTTATTCCCATTTTAAGTTAAATAAGTGAGACTCAGAAGTAGTGACTTGCCTGCATTTATACTGCTAGAATATACAGAACCATGGTTCAGACTGACACTAAAGCACCTGCTCACTTCATTATCAGTATTTCTAGAGTTACAAAAGCATACACGATCGAATATGACTTAGCTGTAAAATGGAACAAAGTGCTGACATACAACATGGATGAACTTTGAAAACAGTATGCAGACACACAAGGACAAATACCGTATGACGTCACTTTCATGAAATGTCTAGAACAGGTAAATTCACAGAGTCAAAAAGTACAACAGAGGTTATAAGGCCTGGGGAGGAGGAAAGAATGGGGTCTTATTAATGGATACAAAGTTTGCGTTTGGAATGACGGACAACTTTTAGAAAAACTTTTGGAGAAACAGGAAACTTTTGGGGAAAGTCTTGATGGTTGAGCGGCATTATGAATGTAAAGAACACCAAATGGCACATTTTATATATACTCTCCTACAATTAAAATTATTTTAAATTACAAAAGGATTCTGATGCCAAATCAGTGTGGTTTAAATAGGTTTTCTGGTTTAAGAGCTCCCAGAGCCTTTACAGTGCTACTCTGAAATGTACCACTCCAAGAGAAGGATATGGAACATACTTTGCAAACTTATGAGACCCTTTGTCCAGGAGTGTGCAGCAGAAGAGATCCTACTTTGGGAAGTGCTGCACTAAAACATATCACTCTCCGCTATTTTCTGTAGATTTAAGTCATTATTTCCAATTGAATGGACTGCCTCCGGCCTAGCTGAGGGTATTGTCAAGCAAAGGTGAGCTCTTACAGAAAGGACTTAGAATGTAAGGGGAGAAGGCAGAAGAACAGGCTAGGTCAGGCCGCATTACAAGTCACCTGGATATCCTTTTTAAACTTCTCACATAGTATGAGTACAGACTTGACAAAGTTGCATTGCTCTGAAATTTCTTTAATCACTTGGCTTTGAGCACTCAGGAATCACCATTGTAGGTCACATCAAAATAAATGGCTAATGATTTTGACTAAGATTCAGAATGTAACTGTCTAGCAGCATAGCCACAAGTTCCTAGGATCATGTATGTATTTACTGATTTTTAGCAGCCTGTTTTTTGTGGGACTGGAGTTCAACTCAGGGCCTTCCTTGTGTATGCTTAACATGTGTTCTAAAACTGAGCCAAGATCTCAAAATTTTATGTGCATTGGAGGCTACTGACATCATTATCACTCATGCATTTATTGGTCTAATAAAATTTTAAAAATAATTGTGGGACTTAACATATTAGAGCTACCTACTTTTTTTTTGAGGTGAAGTCTCTCTATGTTGCCCAGGCTGCTCTTGAATCCTCCAACCTCGGCCTCCTAAGTAGTTGGGATGACAGGTATGCCCCACCATGCCTGTCTCTTAGAGCTATAAAGTATTAATGAAGATGTCAGACAAATCTTCCTTAATTTGGGTTTTAAAGAACTTAGTTCAGTGAACAGGGTAAGAGAATTACATTCATTTTTATGCATAATTAGGTACTGAAACAAATGCTATGGTATACATGTAAGCTTTCTTTATTGCTGCACCATTTTTAATTTGTAGAATTATTTTTTGTTGGTACTGGAGATTTAACACAGAACCTTCACACTGGGCTGCAGATCCCACCAATGCCCTTTTAAAATGTTAAGGTGGGATCTCACTAAATTGTCATGTTGCCCAGGCTGGGTCTGGAACTTGTGATCCTCCTGCCTTAGCCTCCCAGAATGGTTGGATTACAGGCTTGTGCCACTGCACCTGGCTTGTAGACTTTGAAATTACACATCATTTTCTAACATAATGCCTGTCTTCTGCCAGCAGAAGATAAGCTTTCAGTACAGAGACCAAATGTGTTTATTCATCGTAATGTATAATCAGTACTTAGCATACTGTCACCTGGTACAAAAATAAGAAGTAATAGTTTTCAGAGTAAGTGAATAAACTGGCAGTTTGTTAATTTTTAAAAAACTGCACAGAAAGATAAAATACATATATGGTATTCTATGTTATATTTCCAAGGGCTTTCAATAGGTTGTGTTTGAAGTAACTGTAGTGTTTTTACTTCATTCCAGATTTTTGGTTATCTTTCT